CTTAGATTCAGGCTGGGAAGAGATGAGTTTAAATCCATAATATATAATAAAGGCATGGAGATGCCCCAAGCTTGTTCTACTGTTAATTTATTTGCCAGTCTCCACTCCAAAACAGAGTAAACAAAGTTTGTAAAAGTTCCTTTATTGTGCTAAACCCTTCTTGCACTGGTCATGCTGGCTGGGAATTCAAGGTGTTAAGATCAAAAACAAAGAAAGAAATAGGGACTTTTAGAAGTTCTATCACAGAGTGCATCTACATTGTAGAATCAATTCAGTTTGATACCACTTTGGTCTGACCATCATCTGATCAGTTTTAGACTTTCTGCGACCTCTAACCTCCACAGGGGTGGAGGACAAGTTAAGATGGTCCGCCCCAGGAGACTGATGGATCCGGATGGATTCCTGAGGAATCTTGGGGTTCTTCCTGTCATGAAGCCTGGCGTTTCTGTCGATGCCTTGGTTGATCACTATAACAGTGAGATGACCAGAGCAATAGATACGATCACTCCCGAATGCCCCATCACGTTGCATTGAGACACACCATCTCCTTGGGTCACCAAGGAGCTGGCGGTGATGAAACGCACGAGAAGGGGGCTAGAGTGCACATGGAGGAAATCTCGAGACGTATCTGACCAAGCACGGGCTAAAGCCTCTCTTAGGGCTATACAGGTAGCCAAGGAATCTTTCATGACTGCCCGTATATCGTCTGCAGCAAATAGATCATCAGAGCTGTTTCGGGTTGTGGGGGAGCTCCTTCACCCACCTACGGTGGAGGAGACCTTCGATGACCCAACAACTCGGTGTTGCGAGCTTGCACACCATTTTGCAGGCAAAGTTGCTCAGATACGCCTTGAGCTGGACTCCAATTTCCCCACAGTGCCAGGGGAGGTGACTGAGGCACCTGCTTGTCCGATTTTGTGGGATTCATTTAGGCTTGTTCTTCCTGAGACCGTGGAGGAGGTCCTTGGTGCTGTGAGGGAAACCACATCATCTTTAGACCCTTGCCCATCTTGGCTAATCAAATTGGCCAGGGATGGGTTGATTGATTGGTTTGTGTTGATCATTAATGCATCATTGGAGCAGGGGTTTTTGTCTATCTTGACTTAAACAGGCTGTGATTCAACTACTCCTTACAAAGGCTTCCCTTGACTCCACAGTGCTGAACAATTACAGACCAATCTCCAACCTCCCTTTTCTGGGCAAGGTGCTGGAGCGGGTGGTCGCCTCCCAGCTCCAGGGATTTCTAGATGACATCAATTATCTGGACCAGTCACAGTCTGGCTTCAGGCCTGGCCAAGGCACTGAGATGGCTTTGGTCGCCTTGGTGGATGACCTCCGCAGGGAACTGGACAGGGGGAGTGTGACCCTGTTGGTTCTCTTGGACATCTCAGCAGCTTTCGATACCATCGATCATGGTATCCTTCTGGGATGACTCTCTGGAATGGGCCTTGGGGGCATGGTTCTTTAAAGATAGCTCAATTGGTTTCCATGACTATTCCTGTGGTAACAAATTCAAGAGATGTTTTGCTGTATGAGGAAGTACTTATGAATCTCTCATCACACAATTTCATTGAATGGCCCGAACAGGACTAGAAGGGCAGACCTTTCACAGGAGAGACAGCAGGGCATAAACAGAAGTCACATCTAAGGCTGGATCTATACTGACATATAATCCAGCTCATCAAAGCAGAGTATCCAATAGTCTGCAATCAATGACACAGCACTGCATTTTATCCCATGCCCTGTTCCTTAGCTACAATTTGCACTATCCCATTCTCTTGCCTTGTTTACAGTTTGGGAATGTCTTATGGTAGTTGTCACCATAGGTCATTGGGGGTTGTTATGAGTTTTAAACTGTTGTTTTTATATGCTACAGTTTTTACTTTATTGTATTGTGCTGTGTGTTTATTTTATGCTTTGTCTTGGCACATTATGCCATATGTAAGCCATCCCAAGTTCCTTCGGGGAGATGGAGGTGAGATACAAAAATAAAGTAGTAGTAGTTGTTGTTGTTGTTATTGTTATTATTCAGATTATCTGATTTGAACTGGATTAAATGAGTCAACACAGCTATGTAAACCAAATTAACAAAACAGATCATCCGGATTATCTGATTTGAATTAGATTATATGTGTCTATACTGCCATATAATCCAGTTCAAAGCAGATAATATGGGGGAGCAGATACTGGATTATATGGCAGTGTAGATCCAGCCAGAGGTACTCCAGACACATACTACAGTGCAGAAGAAAGGCAATGCCACACTCTGCAGTCCTACATGCAATACAGTGGGAAGCATTGCCACTAAATTTCAATTGGCGCATAAAATAATGTAACATTAGCCTTGTTCCAGGACATCTCTTTTACATATGACACAATTTCACAGTGATATAAAAGTGTTGGAAACAATACTTTTTCTACTTGTGGTGTGGTGAGAAGTGAAATCTTCCTAAAAGAATTTAAAAACTGCCAGTGGTCTCCCAGCTCTTCAAAATCAAAGTGACAAAAGCTCTGGTACATCTCTCTCTCTCTCTCTCTCTCTCTTTCTCTCTCTCTTTCTGCACATGATCAAGCCTGGCTATAAAGCATAACTTTTGCTCCATTTGGTATCTGGCTAATGAGTGTTATGGTAGAACCTAATCTGAAAGGACTGTCGGACTTTTTACTATTTGCTGGGGAAACTGATATAATCCACCTCCACTTGGATCAATTATTTCCATTCCGTTCATAACAGTGAGCATACTTAGCAGGAGTATGTATACAAGGTGTCCTAAAATGGGAGCTGGAAGTTGCAGATTTGGTATCATTTTTTCATATCAGTTTTCCAAGCCATGAATATTTTGAAAAGGATTGTTGTGAGAATTTATTTCCTTATGTGTAGCTGGGGGGGGGGGGGGGGGGGGGGGGGGGGGGGGGAGTGTGTTACTAGTTTGAGTAAATCCTGTTGCTACTCACAGTGGATAAGGAATTAAACTTAATGGAATATTTTCTAACTAAAATCTATTTATTTGTTTGATCATATGAAATCATCTTTGCCCTCAGTGTGTCCTGGAAGTCAGACACTTAACTAATTGCCTTCAGTTAGATCCATGACATCTGATGTGATTACTCTCACATCAAAATCAAGACCTTCTTTCCTTTCTCTAGCAAATACTGTAGGAACAATCATAAATACAAAGCTCTGCTCTGGATCCTTACATTGGGATAGGTCAGGGGGAGAAGGCAGTATAAAGGTTTAAGATTTTAGAAAAAACACTTCCCCCTATCCAACTTCAAATTGTTTGGGCTTGAATAACATTTACCACTGAACATTTACCACTGAATCATCAGGCATGTACATTGTTTTCTGCTTTACTCTTTCTGATGCTTCTCCTGAAGAAAGTCTAGAGTGTTTGTCTCTATATACTTTTATCTATATGTCTATCTGCAGTATATGTCTATCTCAGAAAAGCCAGTGCACATCTGAAACTGTCATGCTGCTCTCATTATTCATGCTGGTTAGGAATGCTGGGAGTTTACCCAACCCCCCCCCCCACCCCCTTGAAATTCTCATGGTGGTTCGTGAGAAGGCCTTACTGGTACATTATTTAAACTGTTATGTTTATTCATATCATGATCTGATCACCATGCTCAATATATCCCATATGCATGGGGGTATTGGGGTAACGATACAAAAGGTTTGCTAGGGTAGACCCTCTTTCACTCAGACTCAGTCCCCCCCCCCCCCCCCCCCCCCCCCCCCCAATCAAACTCAGCCCCTCCTGAATCAAAATCCTGGCTACGGGCCTGCCTCCAAGGCAACAGATAAGGAAGGCTGTTGAAGATTGCTGCCAGAAATTGATCTTTCCCGTCAGTCACTTACCTCTCCCTCCTCATCCACCTTTACATACCCATTCTTCACTTCTCCCCCCATTGCCCTCCCACCTACCCTTCTTTAAAGGAATAACATTTGCATTTGACAACATGAATTCTCAAAGGAATATATACTAAAAGTGATCCCCATATCTTATAACACAAAACAGTGCTTAACTGCAGTACATTCCTGGGGTGACAAATGCCTTCACCTAAGTGAAAAGAGGAAAGTAAAGGATGTATATAACAATGCTGTAGTCCAGGGATGGATGTCTCCTGAAGGCTGGGGAAGCACAGGGGCGTTGGGGGTGTTCTATCCACTTGTATGGTATTCTATGGGATGATGGGGATTTTTGGTGTACCAGAGAACCCTTGAGGCCAAAACTAGCATTGCAGGCCTGTACATGGAGCCAAACAGCTGTAATTTTCCTGAATTACCAATTTACTAGCATTTTTCTTAACTACTCTGTGCAATTTATTGTTAAAATCTGATCCTTTGATGAGTTGCATTAGAACAGTGGTTCCCCATCTTTTTTTGACCAGGGACCACTTTGATCAGGGACCACTCTCCAACATTAGTACCAAAAGGGTTCCAAATCAGTTTTTGGTCAACTTTAGATTTGGTTTTGTTATTTGGAGTGCTGATTCAGAAAATTGCATTGGATAGACCACATCAGCTCTAGTTTCTGATAATAACACATGCCATCTGATAGTCGTCATCTGCTCACCCACAGAAAGGTATATATAACAATAGTAGTAATCTTTCGTGGCTAGTCAGCCTCTCCCCACCCAACATCTCAGTTGCCTCAGCACTATAAGAGGGTTTCACGAGACCAGTCGCTTTCATTGCCGTGTGGTTTCGAGGCAGCGGTGTAGTAATGGTGAGGCAGCAGATCATATTTTCGTTCTTGGGGACCACTGATGGTCTATGGACCACAGGTTGGGAACCACTTCATTAGAGGTTGATTTCGGGGGTAGGGATACCAGAGCTTTATCCAGGCTGGGTTCTGGCTGTGCTAAAAAATCAGGGCACACATATTTGATTTACCAAAGCCATTTTATTTTACTACTATACATTACTATCTGGGAAAGAGAGTCACAAAGAGTTCCTCAAGATCCACAGGCTCTTTTCTTTTTCTTCTTTCTAGGTTCAGCCTCTCCCACCATCATCCCTAATCATAATCCTCTGATTGTGGCCCATGGAGACCCAGTGAGCCTCCTTTGCTCTGGGAATGCCACCATAAAGTGGGTTGGCATGGAGAAGAAGGATAAAGTAGAGGTGTACAACAATGGCACACTCCATATACCCAAAGCATCTTGTAAGAATATGGGAAACTACCAGTGTGTCTTTGACAACAGCACGGATGAGGAGCCTGCCTCTGTATATCTCATTGTGAGAGGTAATTAAATCTATCTGTATCTATAAATTGCTATAATATTTCAGCCCTTGTTCCTATTATACACAACTAAAGCAAGACTGGACCTGTGCAGCCATCCAAATATTATTACATTTCCATTTCCAGGAATCTTTTCTGTATAGGGCAGCTTTATGATTCCCTAAATCACTAGCCATAGCATGTCGTAAAGCACTATCCATTGCATGGAAGTTGATTTTGCACTATAGCTCCCAGAATTTCAGAGCAAGTAACCTTCAATATAAACACAGTGTGTGCTTAGGATAAATGCTATTTGGTTATTTATTTCACATGTGTAAAACTGAGCAGAAAAGGGAAATGGTCCACTCCCTGGCCTGGATTGTGAAGAGAAAGACTGGGAAAACATATGGTTTAGAAAACCTGTCTTAGGATCAGCATGGACAGGTAAACAGCAAGCAATAAATGGTAGTAGTTAAATTAATGGTGCAATGAATTTTGCCACACACAGAGCAATTTAATTGCAACAAATGCATGTGGCATGTTCATTGGAATTCTGACTAGAACGGAAATTAGCTTGACTGGATATGCACTTGATCTTTGCTAGAGAAGCAACCTTACCAACAAACAGCTTGACCAAATTTGTTGACAAAATGTAAAGTTGGGTCCTCTCCTTGGTACCACTTTGCCATGCAGCTCCCGTATTTTGTGATCACTGCCTATGTGTTTCAAGTAACGATCTATACAACAGCCACATGTTGCTTCCTCATAAGTCCCTAACCTTCTTTTTTCATTCCCAGATCCTAAATCACCATGGTGTCTAGCCAAGAAGAACTTTGAAGTGACAGAAGGCCAAGATGCATTGTTCCCATGCCTCATCACTGACCCAGGATTCACAAGCAATGTTACTCTTATGAAAAATGAAGAGTCGATATACTCTTCAAGGGTCTCTTTCAGTGCTCAAGAGGGAATACGTTTACACAGAGTAGGCATGGATGATAAGGGCTGGTACCAGTGTCGAGCCCTTGTTCAAGGACAGTGGGTGCATTCACCCAGAATTGGCCTTCTCGTTAAAGGTTTTTATTATATTTTATTCCATTTTTACTTATATCTTTGTAACTGCTTCTCACTGTATTGTTTTAGTTTTTGCAAGCCATTGCAGATGCCAGTTTTGGGGGAAAGCAGGATAAAAAATACAATAGATGTGAATGTAAAAATGATGAAGTAAAAGATCCAACCATGGTTATGCCTGGCCACATATGCCAGGCATAACCATGGTTGGATTTGCAAATGTGGCAATCCCAGGAGACAGATTCAAAGACAAAGAAAGGGAAGGTTTCAGAAATACCAAGACGTGCAAATTGATATTCAGCATTTCTGGGAAATGAAACAGTTGGGATTCTAGCATTCAAAAATGTTCTGGGAGCAATTCCAAACAGTTTCAAAATAGTGGGTTGTTGTAGGTTTTTCGGTCTATATGGCCATGTTCTAGAAGCATTCTCTCCTGATGTTTCGCCTGCATCTATGGCAGGCATCCTTGGAGGTTGTGAGGACCTCACAATCTCTGAGGATGCTTGCCATAGATGCAGTGTAAAAAAAACCTCCCCCATCTATAAATTGCAAAATTAAACTAGAACTTAGCTTTAAAACATGTAGAAGTCTATTGACAAAAAGCAGACTACTCTTATTAAAAGTCAGTTGGTTGTATAAATAAATAAAGTAATATATGGTATCTCTTCTCCACCTAAACAAGGAGTGGAGGGACCCATCCCAATTATGCTGCACTAACCAGAGGTTTAATAAAAATAATGGCTCGTTACAAACTATTACAATAGCGCAATTAAAAATGATTACACAATAATCACGTTAATGGGTGTGTCACATTACTTAGGCAATCTCTCGTAGCTCTAGGATGATGATCTTCCAGATGTGGTGTCTTGGCAGTGGGTCTGTAGGTGGCTGTGGAGACCTAACCTTGATCCGCATGTTCTCCCACAGTGAGGACATTGGTTTCCAGGTGGAAGGCAGCCCCAGTCAGAGTTAGCTTGACATGCATTCCTCTTGGCACATTTCTTCCTTTTGCCCTCCATTCGTGCCTCTTGGAGTTCTGCAGCACTGCTGATCACAGCTGACCTCCAGTTAGAGCGCTCAAGGGCCAGGGCTTCCCAGTTCTCAGTGTCTATGCCACAGTTTTTAAGGTTGACTTTAAGCCCATCTTTAAATCTCTTTTCTGATCCACCAACATTCCGTTTCCCATTCTTGAGTTTGGAGTAGAGTAATTACTTCCATTTAATACTGTATAAAAAAGCACATGGGATATCTGTGGAGGAGTGGATTGGAAACCCTGAACAGATCATTTTACACACCTCATTAAACTACAAATTCTTGGATTCCATAAGATGAATAAATTTTAAGAGAATGGCATGAAACCAATGAGATCTGATAAAATTCTGGATTGTGTGACAGTAAGGTAAAATGTGATCCATAGCACAAAAAAATTAGGATCAATTTACCACACATCCAGAAGATGGAAAAGAAAAGTAAGTTATAGTATCAAAAGAAGGGGAACAATAAACAAAATAAATTATCTTTAGAATTTTTTTCTGAAAGCAGAAAATATGTCAATGATAGCAGAAATTGAAGGATGCACCTACACTGTAGAATTAATGCACTTTAGTTACTGTGGTGTAATGCCATAGAATAATAAGAGTTGTAGTTTTACAGTGTCTTCAGGCTTTTGTGCCAAAGAGTGTTGGCACTTCCCCAAGCTACAAATCCCAGAATTTCATTGCATAGAGCCATTGTAGTTAAAATGGTGTCAAACTACACTAATTCTACAGTCTGGATGTATCCAGAGAAAGGTGACAGATCTCCATATTTATTAGGTTTCTCTGCTACTTGTTATTAACTGCTCTTTTGACTTCTTAGCCATCAACATACCTATCTCCATCACCGTCGGGGTAAAAGACAATGTAAGAATCCAAGGAGAACCTTTCAACATCTCCTGCAATGTTAGTTACCCTTCCTTCTATTATCAAGTTCGATGGGACTATCCTTCCACTGCAAATGTGAGTAATCTTTGGTCCTGAATAGGATGTATTGTTCATTTACTTTTTCTGTTTTTGGTGGAAGAGATGGATGATTGGGTCACACTCACTAAACCATAGAAGGGTTTCACTTCTATGCTGCTAGACTCTAGACTTGGAGGTCTAATTCTTCTGGAGACAAATTCATACCTGTATGCGTTTTATTATATTTTCTGCCATTTGTAAGCTATCTTAACTCCCAATTTATGTCATACCATGAGGAAAAGGTGGAATATAAATAAGTGACAAATTGATACCTTTTTTTAATGAAACCAAACTCGGCATTCTATCCATGCCATGTTTCCAATAAATTCATTGCATCACACATTAATTTGCTTCAGTCTTTAAGTTCCCACAGTGAATTTCATCCATATCTAGGAGGTTTCCACCCAAGAGACAAATAACAAGAAGCAATTGCAGGAGGCATAGTTGTTTTCTCCTTCTTTTAATTTGTTTTTAGGTGTTTTCAATTTCAGATTGTATAACTAGCTAGCTATTTATTTAAATTATTGAATTTGTACCTCACCTTTCTCTAGGGGTGAGATCCATTTAAGACATCATAGTGATTTTCATTTTCAAAACTCCTAAAACATGTTACATTTTTCAAAACTAAAAAAACACACATTTGCGTTGAATGCTAAGACAGCAACAAAATAATTATAGCATAGGAATATTTCATTAAAATCACAAGAGCGGGTAGTGTAAGTTCATATTTTGTTATTCTAATCTAAAAAGTGGCAATCTAGAAAGTGCAAATTGCACACACACTCATACTGCTTAAGACTTGGGCATTATAATCCTTTGAATAAAGTGTCTCCCAAGATTTCAGGTGAGCCAAAATGATACGGGAAGAATTAAGTAAGGGTGGACACTGGACAATTAAAGCAATGAAGTTTGTTCCAAATATACTGTGTCATTTTTATCCCAGGTGAGTTTGGAGAATCGTGAAAGTTTTGATGATTCTAGTAAGAACTACAACACACAATATATCCTATCCATCCCAGCAGTACAATTGAATGACAGTGGGGAATATACTTGTTTAACAAGTTCTCCTGCCGGCAATTCCTCAGCAAACCTGAAAGTGATAGGTAAGTCTTTCTAAATGTCTTTTTCTCTACACAGGTTCTCTCTAATAGGAAAATCAAATAGGAATGTATAGTGGGGTGTTAATGGGGACACCATCATTAGTCAACACAGGAGCCCTCAGTGGTGCAATGGGTTAAACCCTTGTGCCGGCAGGACTGCTGACCAACAGGTCAGGGGTTCGAATCCGAGGAGAGCAGGTTGAGCTCCCTCTGTCAGCTCCAGCTCCTCATGCAGGAACATAAGAAAAGCCTCCCACAAGGATGGTAAAACATCAAACATCCGGGCATTCCCTGGACAACATCCTTGCAGACGGCCAATTCTCTCACACCAGAAATGACTTGCAGTTTCTCAAGTCGCTCCTGACATGAAAAGAAAATTAGTCACCATAATGAATCTTTCAAATGAATGGGAGGAATAACAAACAAGGTTTAGATTGGTCTTGAAAAGTTCATCTATATGGGGTTTTTTTTAATCCCCTTCAATTTCTATAAGGGTGGTAGCTCTAGGATTAAGAGTAGCAGTCATGTATTTCTCAGCCTGTGCAATATGTATAAAATAAGCAGCAGCAATATGTTTGTGACTGAATTGGGGAAAAGAAACATGCAACCACCCCTATAATTAGACATTCTATTTTCCTTTAAAGTTAATTAAACAGTTCGTCCTCCACATTTGCCAAGATTAGAGGCACAGAACCCCAGCAAAAGTGAAAAACTGCAAAAAATGTTTTTAATCTTTATAGGAATTTCTAGGTCCTCCAGCATGGCTGTATGGTCAACTTCCACTTGAAGCTAATCACAGAATTTCATTTGAAGATTCCTAGAGAGATGATCATTCTAAGAATCTTTAGGTCCTGCAGCATGACCCTATGGTCAGCTTCCACCCAGTGCTGACCACAGAGTTGCACTAGAGGCTGTAGAGATTTCTAGAAAGTACATTTCAATCAAATCTATACATAATCAAATCAACAAAAGTCAAACCAACCTACTGCTTGCATTTTTATGACCACGGTATATGGAGTGATTTTGCTAGTCCCCCTTTCTCCTGTTTTATCACGATAATTCATACATAGTTCGAAAAGCATAGTTTGTCAGCCAACAAATCTTCAAATCCCATATTTCTATTCATGGTTAATCTCTTCACTATGCATGATATTCTTTTTCATTTCAGAGAGAGGTTACATTCATTTGTCCACCATACAGAACAGAATACAGGAACCAAGTCTGCATAAAACTCTGGAGCTACAGGTTATTACCGAGGCATATCCTAGGCCTTCTATATATGGATGGAAACACGTAAATTCATTAGGAAGCCCCAGGGAGTCCATACACATTGGCCAGATGAGTTTTGGCAACAACCGGTAAGGAAGAGATGCTGCCTATACTTTCCTAAAGCCCTTCCCAAGCAATGGCTTTAACATAAAGGAGTATGTCATTCTCCTTACTTGGTTGAAGTTTGGAAGATCTAGAAAGAGTGACTCTTGCAAATGGTTAGTAACAGTGGGTTAATTTATACTGTAGAATTAAGGTAGTTTGACACCACTTTGTGAAATTGTCTTCAAGGGTAACCCTATGTAGAATGCATTACAGTAGTCTCACTAGGATGTTACCATAGACTGCTATGGCATATGGTGTATCTACATTGTATAATTAATGCAGTTTCACAGCATTTTGACTGTCATGGCTCAGTGGAATCATGGGGCATGTAATTTTACAATGTCTTTATCCATCTCTGTCAAAAAGTGATGGTGTCTCCCCAAACTACGACGCTCATGATTCCATATCACTGAGATATAACAATTAGAAAGATGTTGAAATCCATTAGTTCTTCTCTGCAGATACATCCAGAGAGTTGCCTCCATGCCATTTCTTTGCAAATAAAAACCCCACCACCCCATACTTACTATCTGTGTTTGTTTTGCATTCTTCTTCTGAGAAATGCAGAGCCAGGGCCAGCTATATCTTTAGGCAGAATGAAGCATTAGGCAGATGTTGGTCCTCCAGGTGTTTTGTGTTTCCCAGAATTTTTGACTGTTGGAATTTGAGATCATAGCTAAGTCAGTTAGCGCTCCTGAAAATTGGTTTAAAATACCAGGAGCAACAATGTTGAGAATCACTGCTGTTGATCCTGGAAGTTGGTAGCAACTTCCATGTAATGTATGAGCTCATGTCACACACTACTAAACTCTCCATCAGTTCAGCCTTGGATGGTGCTCTCCCATAGCTATGATCTCAAATTTGTGGACTGATGGTAAATTCCCTTAATCTTGGTACATGGCAGTGCATCGTATAACTGTGGCAGGGGGGTAGCTATCTATTCAGCACTTGAAGTACCGTAGGATTACTGCCTTCTTTCCTACTTTTGCATAGTATGTTTAAGAGGTCAATTATCACAATTGACCTTGAACGAAACAAAGTAACTCCAGGTTTGAGATGGTATGTGGAAAGTATCTACAGGATGATGACTCCTGCACTGACTTGACTATGTATATTTGTTTTCTGTTTTGGAAGGTATATCAACACACTGAAACTAAATGATATTAGGGAAAAACATAGTGGAATGTATACGTTCTTTGCCAATAATAATGAAACCATTGCACACATTACTTTCAACATCTCAGTGAAAGGTAAGTTCTCCCTCTACTCACCTTCTTCCAACATTTGGGTTGACTTACAGAATTTATCATATTTTCTGCAAAGGGATTCTCCACATGGCAGAAGAGGTTTGTTTCTCGTGATATGTGATTTTCCTCACTTAAATAACTTGCATTTAGATTACATAAAAGGGAAATTGAAATCTCAGTGTGAGAATGGAAATGGAGTAATTGTAGGGAATATGAATTCCCTCTTTAGATTTGCTTCAAGGTTTAGGGGAAAAAACATTAAGAAACTCAATCCCAGTGAGATAATGTAGGATAATCTTGTTCTTTCTGTAAGCAAATGAGGTGCTGCAGAATCAAAGTGCTGTAAAATATTTCTTAATATTTTCTATCTTTCCCTCAGATATGTCCAAGAAAGCCTTTAGGATTATTTTCAATTTAACAAAGAACAAGTGCAATCTTTTCTTTCTTTTTTTAAGAAAGATTGAATAGCTTTATTGTCACTGTACATTGTACAGTGAAATTGAATGCTTTTCCCAACACAAGTCACTAAAACAACATTCCCATCCCTCCATGGTTCAACCACCAACTGCCATTTCAGACGGAAGGTCTGTTTGTGTGCATGGGTTGCTCCCCTTTTGACTTAAGGGGACACCACATCCATTCTTAATGGCAAAATACTCTGATTTGCTTTGTTTTTGGACACTTCCTTTGCAGCTGCTTCTAAATTTCTTTTGCAATAGTTGAAAAGTGAAGGCTGTGACTTCCTGTATAAGGCATGTCTGCTGAGAGTCTCAGTCTTCTTTGAAGAAGAATAAATAACTTGAACTCTGCAAGTGGGCAGCTGAAGAGTGGCAGGAGGACGCTGTGGAAAAGGGAAAAGGAAAGGGGAGGGGAGGGAGAGGAGAGAAGAATCTTTTGTTTTAACAATAGAGAAAACACTAGCCAGGAGGCATTGTGACTTTCCTAGAAGGTAGCAAAATAATTCAGACAATAAAACATCAACCATGCTGTTATCTGGATTAAGGAATGATCAGCCACGCACATGTAGAATCCAAAGATCATAACCAAGGCATTGATATGTCAACTTGTTTTGCATAAGAAAAATGTTGTTAGCCTTCATAATACATTTTGATTGTGGCTTATAAAGAGGTTTGAAATGAAGTGATTGTGTATATCACTTAATTACTTTTCCCCAACTTGTTTGTCAGTCCCACCTCAAGCTATGCTGAAATTCAACAGCTCCAACAGTCTTTGGTGTGAAGTCAGTGGCTATCCTGCTCCACATATTGAGTGGTATCAACTACCCCACAATCATAGTACAGACAGGTAAGTTGACAGAACAACAGCACAGTCCTCTGGATGATTACTTGTAAAGGAAGGCCTGCAATTTACTTCTTACCAAGACTGCAGTTTTAATATAATGTATATGCAATATGTTTATTATACCCATATAGAAGTAATAAACACATATATTTACATTGGCAATAATTCCTCTGGTTACCAAGAAATATCCTGCACAATCATGTTGGTGAGTCAACATTAGATTTATTGTGAAATAATAGTTGCTAGATGGCTAGATTTTGGGACATCCAGGTTTACACCTCCATTGAGCTGTGTAACTGATTTGGACAACCTGGTGCCAACCATTCTGCCTTAACTGAACCTATCTTAGAGTGCTGGTGTTGTGTGTAGAAAGTAGAGAATAAGAGAAAGACACATGATGGCTTAGGACAAACCCACTATTCCACTACAGTGGTGTTATCATTGATAGTGGGCACATGCCACATTGAACATCTTTGATATTGCATCTATTTTCATTATAGTTGTCATTGTGCTGATCTTCCATTCCATGGTTTTGCAATTGTACTTCTGTTTACTCTGCCTTCCTGCTGTGCTGTTGTTCCTAATATTTTATTTTTAGTTCAATTTCACAATTCCAGCATTTAAAAACAAAAAGGCAAATATAAACTTAAAATAACAGATAAAAGGAAAACAGCCAGTTTGGAAATAGCAAGGGGGAGAGTGGAGTGGAAGTGAACGGATGTCACTTTATGATCTGCGTGCTGGCCCAGAAGCCCAAGGTGAATGGTGAACACTTTGTAGAATTGGGAAGGAATGATGGGATGGCAGAATCACAGGAAGTAGCAGACCAGCAGTGCCTATCACACACCTGTCATGTGATGCCATCTTGTTTCCCTCATGTGATAAAGTCCTTAATCTCACTTGGAGGAAATGTGAGAGAACAATGTAACAAGCAACCAAATAAAAAAGGGTTAGGAAAGGATGATTTGATTTAGGAGTGGAGAAGCATAATTTATATAGCCTAAAGATATAGCCTAAAGAAATTCCAGATTGGTGTGTCTGGGGTAAATCATCAGCTATTTTGTTGCTGTTTGCTGTGGGTTTTCCCACCACACAGTATCTAAGGTTTTCTGGTTTCTTGTGAATTTAGAATCTTAGAGTAGGTGACCAGCCCATCTATGAGCAATAAACCTCTGTGCTAGAAGACATCTGTTGTCACCAGTTCCTTTAACACTAGAAGGTGGAGAAGGAGAGATGCAATTTGAACTCAAGGCCCAGTTGGGTTCCCTGCTCCCTAAATAGAAGGCTGTGAAGTGGTTGTCTGTCACAGCACATGTGGCCAATCAAAGGAAGGGAATGAAATAGTTCTCAAAAGGAACAATTGACCAATCAAACACAGGAAATGCTACAGGCACATTAACATCTGTTGTCTTTTTTTGGTTTTCCAACAGATGCTATCAAAGTGGTATGCTGTTCATTAATGACACTAACCCAGAGATCGTCAGTGAACTTCCCTTTGGAAGAGTGTTATTGAAGAGTGTTCTTCAAGTTAAGGAGAAGAAAGGCAACACACTATTTTGTTGCTTAGCTATTAATAGCGCAGGAAATGCATCTAGCATTGGATCTTTTGTTCACACCCTTGAAGGTGAGAGAAATGTAAGCACTTCATTTGCAAAATGACTTGTTTCTTGTTTAGGAATTGCTCACTAAATCCTTAAGTGTGACTATATTTATACCAATAGAAAAGAAAGTTTCTGTTTGAATAAAGATGAGTATAGACAAAACAGTTTTCCATCATCTGATTTAATTGGATGCCTTTTCATTATATATGTTTCATTCATTAATAATCTGTTCCATCTTTCTAATTTATTTCTGTTTTCCATTGCTACATTTCTATCCAAAAGTAGTACTGCAGTGCTTGCATGAAAACTACTAAAGTTATAAGGAGAGGGGGGAAAACAGGGAAGTATTCCATTAAATCCAGTTGTTAAGAGAATAAAATGAATTATAATCAAATGGTGGTTTACTTGGAGCTCAGTGGTTTCAATTCTCTTAGTATTTTTAACAAACATGCATGAAATTTCACAACTTAATTTTTTAAAAGAGGAGAACATGTGCTATTGTTGGACTACAGAACACATCATCCCCAAGCGCCTCCCTAATGATTATGAATCATGTCAACTGTTGTGTAAAACAGCTGAAGAAAATCAGGTTGAAAAAGCCAGTTTGATGTGTAAAGGCACTACTGAACTTAATGCAAACAGATTTCTATAGTCATGGGTAATTTTACTAGAATTAGACTAGGCAACCTGAATTACTGGTATACTTGCAAATGATATTTTCTTCTGCTTTTTGTTTTTCCAGTCAATACTACAACCATTGCTATTCTCTCTAAACCAGCTATCATAGCCTGGGCAGGCGTAATGGCTTTCCTCCTCCTGTGTATCATGGTATTATTCTACAAATATAAACAGGTCAGATTCATGTGTATTCCCTAGAGTTGGGCTGGGAAATTTACAGGCCTCCAAGGAATCTGTTTTACTATAGCTCCCAGCTAGCCAGCATAGCCAATGGGAACTGATGGAAATTTCAATCTAGCAACATCTGGAAGAGTCATAGCATTTCCCATCCCACATTCATCAGAAAGTAATCAGAAAAGAGCTCCAGAAGCTGAGAAAAACAGTCTGAAACTCTCCTTCTGTTCCACATGTGTACAATTTTGTGCCTCCCTTATTTCAACTGCCTGTGTGATTCTCTTTGAATCCATCTCATCCTGCCTCAAGCTCCATGCTTTGAAAGACCCTCCTAGTGGCATCACAGGGATTGGTGTCACCCAGTGTGGTATCTCATGGTGTCACACCATTGACCTCCTCCCATACCAGACCACAATGTTGTAGCTAAAACATCAGAAAACATCACAAAATCAGAAACAATGTTTAAAATCATGCAGGAGCAAAATTGTGATGATGTTAGAATCACAGGTCTGCATTATGTCTGAGATGTTGTCATTTAAAATGGCAGAAGCTGCTCCTCTTTTTGCCCTTGTGAGGAATTTAAGACAAAGACCAATAAAAACAGGAAATAAAATAGCTTCTCCATTCACAATAGAAAAGTTACTTCTCCTGCAATTTAGCTGCTCCTGTTCTATGTGAAGCTAATTGCTCCTTGCTTAATAGAAAACACTGAATTTCTTAAGGAGTCTCTGTAAAAATTGTTTTATAAATAAAACTTGCCACATTGTGATCCCAAATTGTACTCCAATGAAAGAGTTTTATTTATTCATTCATTCATTTATTTACTGCATTTCTATGCTGCCTTTCTCAGCCCGGAGGCGACTGAAGGCAGCTTTACCTTTGTTAGAGGTAGAAAACCTCAAAGAGTTAGAGCTTCGTCCTTTAGTTCCCTCTTGTTGAGAATTCCCATTGCAGATAAATTTCATAACTTGAAATCTAGGAAAAATGTATTCAGAGGTAGTTGTGTTGGATGTACAGCAAAATATAATAAAATCCAAATTTATAAACAGCAATATCTGGATCGATTTTGGAATTTTCATGGCCAACATTTCTAGCCCTGAATATCTTTTTTGCTTTATGATAGATGGTCCTTTGTCTGAAGGACTATTTAAACCCAGTTTAAAGCTAAAGTATGGTACTATAAGAGGAAAGGGAGAGCAAGAGTCTTGAAGTTTCCCATCAGCACCTGGACAGCAAACCCAGTAGGTACACAGGTCTCATGGCACAGGTGTCCTTTCCTCACTTGTTTCTTAATGTCTGTTATACATTAGCATGTGTAATTTACACAAACCAATGTTTTTTCCATTTCTGGAGGTGATGAATTGTTCCTTCTTTGATGACAAACCTTTTTATAAAGTCTATAGCTAGACATTATAATGGTGTCTTTAATCAACTTGTTATGGGGTTGAATTCAGCATGAAGGCTTCAATGCACCACCACAAACCTAAATCTGGATTGGGATTTATACTGTTGCTCACATTTATGAAGTGTGCTCTTGGGGATTTAATAGCCCAATCCTATGCATGGTTTTTGGAGGCAAGATTCATTAAATTCAGTAAGACTTACAGTAAAAATGTCTCGGACTTGAGCCTTAAATTAATATAGAGTGGGTAGAACTGCAACAGTTAACTTTGCAGTACTATGGAAGGAGGAAAAAATGAATATTGCTTTTCTCTTGTAGAAACCAAAGTACCAAGTCCGTTGGAAGATAATTGAGGCCTGTGAAGGAAACAACTACACCTTTATAGATCCTACACAACTTCCATATGATGAGAAATGGGAGTTTCCCAGAAACAACTTGCAGTTTGGTGAGAAAGTGGTTTTCATTTGTCCCCTACATGGTTTGAGAGTTCTTGGCCCAGAAATGTTTGAACTTTGATTCTAAATAGCCCCAGAGAAGGCTATAAGAATACACAAAATTTGGAATGTATCAGGCCTTTTCTTTTTAACTAACAACTGTGGCTCCAGTTTCGTCCGTGGATTCCATTAGATGCACTCCAATTTCTGCTTCTTTCAGTTGTCTGAGAAGCAATTTAATTATCTCCTTCCATATTTGCTGACAGTTCAAACTACTGAAGTCAAATTACCCTCTTGCTTTAGTGTAGGACTGCACAATCAACAGCTGGATTTTATTTCAAGTCAATTTACTGATCCTACTTTTAAAAAGATCAGCAAATTGGCATGAAATAAAATCCAACTGTTGATTTCAGGCTAGAAGAAGTGAAAACATTCCTCCTCCTGTGTATCACTAAATAAATGGTAAACATCTTCCTCTAAATTCAAAGCTCTATATTTGTTTTCACAGGAAAGATCCTAGGAGCTGGAGCTTTTGGGAAAGTCATGGAAGCCACAGCTTTCGGGTTGGGGAAGGAAGATTCTGCCCTGAAGGTAGCTGTGAAAATGCTGAAATGTAAGTGCTAGGATGTATGAAAAGACTTCTATGGACAGGGGGAGGTGAAAGAAAAATACATTAGGCATTAGGCATACAACATTTATAGGATTTTCAAAAGCTATTATTATTATTATTATTATTATTATTATTATTATTATTATTATACTGTCACTTTTCTTTTATACAATCCCAAGCATGGATTGGACTACCCTATGGATGTGCAACACCAAGGGTTGAGAATGTCACATAATTGTTGTAGTAGGTCTGTAAGAGGAGCATTGGTCATTCAGAAGAAGAGGGGAATCTCTGCAGCAACTAAAAATAGACACATGCAGGTGTAAGGTTAATTAACAACTCTATATGCCACTAACAGTCTGCCAGCTAATGACTGCTGGAAGTCGAGATCAACTGCTTACAGCATTGCTCAAGTGATCAAAAGAAAAATGCTTAATGAAGCAGAATCAATCCTATCCTTCTTTAAGATTGCATCTTTCTGAGACATTGAGCTTCCATTTCTTTAAAATTTGACTTAAAGTATTATTGGATGCAACATTTCCAATTATGGTAACAGGAGAAGCTTCAACTCTTAAAAACCCCCAATAATCCTATTCTGTGCAACCCTTAATGCTACAAGAAGGCAAATTGATTCATTCCATTATTCAGACCAGATCTTGGGCTCACCAGCAGCTTTTCCATTTAATCTATCTTATGAATCACATTCTCTTTTCTGGTTTCAGCAACAGCACATACTGATGAACAGGAAGCCCTCATGTCAGAACTGAAGATCATGAGTCACTTAGGTCACCATGAGAACATCGTGAACCTGCTGGGCGCATGCACCCATGGAGGTAACAAAGTGCTATGGCAGCCACTAAACACATGACTTCCATGCTGTTTCTCCTGTTTTGTTTTTATTGGAAAGCTTCTTACCATAACAAATGAGTCATAGATTCTGACGTCAAGCTGATCATGGGCACAAACAAATTAATTGTTTTCCCATTGACAATGTTGAACTATCAGCTGGCTATAAAGACCCTATGAAGTTGTACAGGCCTCAGGAAATTATAGCATGATAGATATTTCAAATGATCACAAACTTGAGTTAAGAAGATCTGAATATTTCAGTGGTGTGGGATGAAGTAGATCTTTGACCAAAAAAGACAAGTTATCCTCACCTATTGTACTGTGCAACTGGAATAATTTTGTCCCCCCCCCCCCTCATTGTTTCTGTTTCCTTGTGTACTATTTGGCATCAACCGTAATAGCTAAACTACAAAATGTGCAGAACCTTGTGAGATCATTCTTCCTATAGTTAGGAGAATATTTCTTTCAGTTCCTTTGACATAAAATAGCATTTGAAATAATTTCCACAATTAAAAAAAAAATCAAGCACCAAGCAAACAGCAGTATCCAGCTCCACTCTATGGTGATGAGTACTTGAACTGGACCAGGTTAGGAAAAAGCAATAAATATCTTCAATCTGAATTTTAAATTTCTACAGGTTTCTGGCTACTAACTTCACAAGTTGTTTTGACCAATTGGCATGAGAGTATGACATTTTTAAATGTCCATGTTGAATAAGTTGTTCTACAAAGGTTCTTAAAAATGAAATACATTACTTTTCTACATAGCCATCTTTCCTTGTGATGCATTTTTCCCAGCATCATACCAACTTTTTAATGCCATCATCAAAAATGGCATATAGCCGCATATGCGAATCAGCTGCAGAGTTCTTTTTTTATTCCTTATGTTTGTGCCTGTAGCTAGATATTCGGAGCACTCTGCATCTGTCACTCTAGTACAGCCATTTTCAAACATTTCAGTCCACTCATAGATGACTGTGAGAGAGAACTTTATACTGAGCACACATGCAGAGATTAATTTCTGCTCTCAGCACACCTTCTGCCCACAGAAAGCATATGACAGAACGCTGTTTCTTTTTGGTGCAATTTATATGTTTCACAGCCATCTTCCCCAAAGCATGACAACTCTTATTCTAAACTGCAAGATCACAGCACTCTCTGATTATGCCACATGAAATAAAGTCGTATTAAGATAAGCAGAGCAAGACTTTATTTCAGATGGCATAATAATGCAATATGTATTCTATAAACATTAAAGTAAGGTATAATTTGTTTATCTTGAATACTACTTATTATAGGACAGCCCTTGGGCATTTCCACACTGCACAATTATACTTCTGTTATTCCAATTTAACTGCCATGGTTCCATCCTGTGGAGTCCTGGGATTTGAGATTTAAGGAGGGACATTTACAATTCTTAGCCAGAGGGGTCCCTCGGTGCTGCTGGCCAAACTACAGAGTGCAGGACTTCATGTCAGTAAGAAGTCTTCTCTTCTAACCTTGTTCCAATAATGGTAGCATTCTGTAATGTCTGCATAACATGTTTTCTGCAGAGAGCCATTTTATAAGGGCATTCAGTCCCAACTCCACCACAATCTGAAATGGTTCAGTTCAGCAGGAACTGCATCACATTATTCTATTGTGTGTGCATCTTTGATAAACAGGCTTTACATTTAATGCTAGTAAGGCTTCTACTCCCCCTTGTGCTATAATTCCTGTGCCCTGAGCAGTTGTGGCAAGATAAAAGTCCCGAGGAATAACAGAGGGTCATTCCACTTGGCACTTACCCTTTCTGTCTCTCTCCTAGCTAGCTAGCAAAACTATTTGTCCATTTGTGCTGTTTTCCACTTGCAGAAAGAAAAAACGAGAAGGGGTGGGGGTGGGGGACAAATAATTGCAGTCATTCTCCATCATTTCTTCAAATTTGGACTCTTGAATCTTCACTGAAAACAATACCTGGAGCAAAATAATATGTGCAGAACATACTACCATAGCTTGTCCTTCAAACACTCAAGAGTCCATCATCAGATAGACATTTCAGATTGATTAGAACAAATGATCATTTAATAACAGAAATTGAGTACATTTTCTGGTAATGTTTATTTTCTATTTTCTAGTCCCTGTCCTTGTGATTACCGAGTATTGCCCTTATGGGGACTTGCTGAATTTCCTGCGGAAGAAAGCAGAGTGTCTCATAATCCAGGATTTAACAGTAGAGACTTCCCTTGATAGTACAGCAACTGACTATAAGAATGTCTACATCGGGAAGAAATACCTCCAAAGGTAATAACAGAAGTCACCTATTGGCTATTAGAAGGATATAAAATAGAAGTAATTTAAATCGATGTTCCCATTTTAGCACTGTTTAAGGATTGTGTTCATTACTTAATTCTTCACATACACCAAGCCATCAACTCATTTTTTCATATATGGAGATAGGCAGCATGTATCTCTATGCATATGAGAAGTGGAGAGATTGGTATTTTCATCTTTAGGAGGTATACCTTTGGACTCTCTATTTTAGGAATCAGCCAACATGGAATTGAGTCCTAAACTGCTTTGAGTCCCCCTCGGGGTGAGAAAAGCAATATACAAATACTGTAAATAATAAATATGGTTCATTCTGACCTATGGCTTCATGACATGAAATAAACCAGCCAAATGCTTGATCAAGAGATTGAGCGGATTGATTCCTGCATTCTCCAGAACCTTTCTCCCATAATGTCTTCTAGAGAGACCATAGGGTATCTTTTGGAAGCATACCAGGAATCAGGTCAAGCGGGAGAGGGCTTGTGTGTATCAGACAATGAGACTGATGCTTGTGCTCTCTAAGGCTGGTGCTGGAGTGCCCAGAAGTCCTTTTCAGTCTTGGCTAAATTGAACTCAAGTACCCCTTCTCATTCTGTCATCTGTTAATTAATACCAAGAAAGCATGTAAGCTGAAATGACCCCCCTATAGTTGACCAATTTATTGGTAGGATTAAGTGGAATTAGTTGTTGACTGGATGGATTCACATGTTCAGTCATGGATCTAAAGCAGACAGAGGCAACTTACAAAGGGTTGTGGGCTATACATGCTGCCCCAGCATCACACCTCTACCCTTGGGTTTTTGGTTTCGACTTTAAAGGGATCCTCAATAGCATGTGACAGTACTCTTTTACCATATTTTCACCCCAGCGTAGTTTAGGCTGGAGAGGACTTTCAAAACCAGAAGGGACCCAAATACTTCTTGTTCTTTATTTGTGGGGGGCATCCTCCCTACATCTAAAATATCCCAGGAAAGGATAACACAATAAGCACGACTTATTAAACTTTTTCCACTTTCAACCCCTTTTGCCTGCATTTTTTTTTTGCATGACCCCAGGTATATAAGTCTATAAAATAGGTATAAAATTTTTAAAAAATATTGAAAATAAATAAACATTTGCAAGGTTTGTTAAATAGGCTGATTTTCCTTTTTGTGGGGTACAACTGAAGAATTTTCTGCAGAGTCGACTGTAAACGCTTCATGTTGTTGCCAGCAGGTTTGTGTAAATGAATGGGGTTCAGAAATTTTTCACTGTTGTCAAATTTTTTACAACACCAGCATTGAGCTAAGGGAACCCCATTTGGGGTCAGGACCCACAGTTTAAGAAACAGTGTCCTAGAGGGCACAGGGATCTTTTCAAAATTAATACAAAAAATGGTGGTACGCAGGTATCAGAAGAAGTTCTGAGGGTCACATAAGGCTCATGGGACACTCTTCCCCCACTCCTTCCTTCCTAAAGCAAAGATGATTTGGAAGTTTATATCAATATTAATTTACTGTATTAATCAAATGCCTGTAATTTTTCAAAGGATATTCTTGAGCATGTTAGGGGCATGGTGTAATTGTGAATACATTTTCCTTCTTTTTTTTTCTCTTGTTCAGTGACAGTGGATTTGGGAGCCAATCTGTAGACAGTTATTTGGAGATGAGATCAATGACCGCATCAGGTTCTGTGCAAGTGAAAGGTAAAAGGGTTACTTCCAAAGGCAATATGGATACCTCAGGAATGAGAAAACACATTTTTTTCCTGTTTAGAACTATTGCTACTTTTCTGTTATGATAACTGTTTAATATCTCTCCTGCCTTAAACAGAACTCAGTGTAGCATATGTGAGTCTGTATGTGTCTTCAAATCCTATGCAAAACTATGCTGAGGGATTGTAATGAGTTTCACATTTTTTCAGAATGCTTTGTGGTTGTTGAGGGATATGAATGCGCAATTCTCCAGTCCAAGTTGAACAGTTAGACCAGTTTTTTCCTCCCAAGAACAAAAATCTTTAAAGATTCTTTGGATGGAGTTTGCAGCTCCTGAGACAGTGTAGTGTTGGCAATTTGCGGTGATAATGGCCAGTGTCCAAGTCTTCCAGCTCTTTATCCAAATCCACTCCCTATTGTACTTTCTCTTCCTTTCAATGCCAGCTGAGCAAAAACAAAAACAAAAAGTGGGCTTCAGCAGTTTTACATTCATCATAATTCCTTAGTTTCCTTTACATAATTTTGCCTAAGGTTACCTCAATTCAGTTCATCATTATATTCTATATGTATGTGTTTGTGTATGCATATCATATTACGGAAGTCGATCACATAATCTCACCCATTTCATGAACATTGATGCTATCCTTTGTCTGACTCACATCTCCACAGTATCCGAAGAAGAAACTACAGACGGACAGCCTCTTAGCCTGCATGACCTGTTGCAGTTTTCCAATCAGGTGGCTCAGGGAATGGCCTTTCTTGCATCCAAAAATGTGAGTATCTATCTCCACCCTATAACAACATGACTTTAAAAAAAAACCAGTTCCAAAACCAGTTGGCACTAAAAGGTACTGAAGCTGTGATAGGTAGAGTTCAGGCCACTATGGAGGAACTAAGGTATATTTTTTTTCCTTACTGCACAGGAAACTATTCTGCCTAAACATTCCAGTTCAAACTCAGCACATGTGCAGGCTGCCAGAATATCTAAACATCTAAAGTACCAAGTTAAAATATTAATCCTTCAACTTGGTCAATATTCACATATATTTTCGCATATTTGTATCCTGTCCTTCTCACCCCCGAGAGGGGACTCATTCCCTAATCTTAAAGTTTTAGTGCCTATAGCTTTCAGGGTGATGAAAGCTACCAAATTAAAGAAACTTGTAGCATAGTATGCTTCCCCATCACATGCACTGTCTCATCGTTTGTCCCTTTTCCATGAGTGCTACAGTTTATACATTTGCTGGATCAATGTATTGTCGAAGGCTTTCATGGCTGGAATCACTAGGTTCTTGTGGGTTTTTTCGGGCTATAGGGCCATGTTCTAGAGGCATTTCTCCTGACGTTTCTCTTTCTAGCTGCATCATGCACATGTGTTTTGTTGTTTAAGCTGAAGGAAGGAGGAGCACAGAGGCTATAGATTTAGTAGTGCTGTGTAATATTGATGCTTCTGATCCCATCCAGAATTAGGAACTGAAAGCGGCAGTTAGCAGTTCTGGCCCCACCATGTCATAAATATAATTCAAAGAGTAATTAAAGGATTTCATTTGAGTGTATCTCGCAACTAGCCTTCCACCCCAGAAGAGAGGTACAGCTGCTAGCTAGACAGCCATATTATTAAAAAAATAAACAATGGACATTTCTGCTAAATTTGCTTGGGTCCCAGAAAGATGCAGTTCATCATTAAAATTATATATTTATTAAAGTGATTAACAATCATAACAATAAATAAACAGCAGGTAGTTAAATATTTCCACTTCTGCCTTCTTAAGAAATAATAACATGTTCTACACTGCCATTTCAAATGCAGCTCACTCTTTATTTTTTGTTTTGGTAACTAAAGAAGGCAGATCTTGACACCTTTTGATAATTTATGTATTAAGCTCTCTTCATTAATCACTGTTATTAATACACACACATAGTTAATAAGATAACTATTGGGTTGCTGTAAACCGAAAAACCTACAGCAACCCAGTGATTCCGGCCATAAAAGCCTTCGACATCACATTGTAACAACTATTCATCACTGTATTGTATGAAGACTTTTAAAAGTCATTTATAACTTTTGAAACCCCCATGTCTTAGCAGAATTTGTTCAGAGAAGTGTTTTTGTTGCCTTCCTCCAAGGCTGTGAGAGTGTAACTTGGCCTGGATTACCCAGCAAAGTTTCATGTTTGATCAGGGATTTGAATCCTGCTCTCTTGAGGTCCTGGTCTAACACTCAAACCACTTCACCATTCTGCCTGAGTAGACTCATACGCACTGCTTTCTGAAAAATCTCTTTTGCCCCTCCTCTGTCTAATAAACACTGACATCCCTCTGGTCAAACTTGTTCATATCTTTGTGGCCCTGATTATGAAACAAAAGTTAGAAAAAAGAGTACTGTACCATTTATTTTGCTCTCCCTTTAATCCAGTGCATCCATCGTGACCTGGCTGCAAGAAATGTGCTTGTGGCTGATGGACGAGTGGCCAAAATCTGTGACTTCGGCCTGGCTAGAGATATAATGAATGATGCAAACTATGTTGTAAAAGGCAATGTAAGTAACTGCTTGGATGCACATATTGGATACACAAAAAAATGTTCTACACCAAGTAAAATTATTTTTCCATCTAATTGAATATTTTCTGCACTGGCACTTTGTAACCTCCTGTTGACTGTGAGGTACAGACGTGGGAAACTAGTTTACTTTGACTGACAGCAGCGACTCTCCAAAGTGCCAAGTGTCTCATTGCTGGGATTGAATGTGGGATCTTTTGCATGTAACATAGGTCTTCTAGCACCAAGCTATACAATTTCCCCACTCACAACAGAGTGAGTGAAATTAAATCTGACTTGGGGATCTGCTTTAACTACTGAGGAGAAACTAGCTGCAACACACAAAGCAATATTTATAGAAGCTCCAGAACACACTGTTGACTAATTTCAGTTGTTTCCTAGCTCATTAAAGATTTTGACATTCCAGGCTCGCTTGCCAGTGAAGTGGATGGCCCCAGAGAGCATCTTTGAGTGTGTTTACACAGTTCAGAGTGATGTGTGGTCTTATGGTATTCTTCTCTGGGAAATATTCTCCTTAGGTAAGAAAACATCTATTTGTCTATCCATCTCTATTTTTTTTCTACTGGGAAGGCCTTGGTTTGAGAGAAAATTTGGTTGGGAGACCAAAATTAGGTTTGTGGAGAAAAATCATGTAACACTATTTAAAAGGTAAGGAAGATGGGTGTAGTGTGTATGCAGAAGAAGAAAAATCAGGTACATACCAGAGTTTAAGTCAGTTTAGAGAGCATCCTACCAAAAGCCACTACCGACATTTCAGTTCTCAGTTGATATAGTTTATGGACATAAATCTTCACATTCTTTATGTTTTCATATCAAAACAAGCAGATCCTCCTTGCCTTTTTAGAAAATGAAGAGTCCTATGTTGTTGTTCATTCGTTCAGTCGCCTCCGACTCTTCGTGACCTCATGGACCAACCCACGCCAGAGCTCCCTGTCGGCCGTCACCACCCCCAGCTCCTTCAAGGTCAGTCCAGTCACTTCAAGGATGCCATCCATCCATCTTGCCCTTGGTCGGCCCCTCTTCCTTTTGCCTTCCACTTTCCCCAGCATAATTGAGTCCTATACTGTTCTTGAAAGATATCCCATTTTGCACTGTGCCCTTTGAAAACAATGTTGCAAAGAAATACACACAGCTTTTCTGTTCAAAAGACTTTTATGCAAATGTTTTTCCTATGCAAGAAATAGTATTTCCTACACAAAAAAAATGTTTTTCCTTACCAAAGAATCACAACATATTTTGGCACAAAGGCATCATTTGTATTTCTGTGCAGTATAATTATTTCAGAGAAGTGTGAAGTGTGGGCAAAGTGTGAAGAATCTCACTGCTGCATGATTTTTTGTGAGGGTTTCATCTTAGGAATGTATCAGGAAGCCCATATTTATACTAGTAAGCAAGCCATGGCAAATGTCCAGTTCATCAGTAATACAACTCTGTCAGAAGCCCTTACACTGTGATTATCTTTGGAAACCCAGTATGCGAACTCCAAATCCTTGTTGTCTGTGGGGTATGCAAAATTTGCTCCCCACTGAGGATAGAATTAACTGTAGGAAATCCACACTAGAAGAAAAACAGTGCCCTGTCTTTTTACCCTTTCACAAACTCTTTCTATTTCTTATTTTGACTGCAGGAAGAAGCCCCTATCCTGGCATGAAGGTGAACAGCAAGTTTTATAGCCTGGTCAAGCAGGGATATCACATGGGAAGGCCAGATTTTGCTCCAGATGATATGTAAGTAACCAAACCTGGTGACACCTCTCTCCCTACCGCATTAAAGGAAAAGGAGGAAGTTGTATCAGAAGTGCCTTGAGATGTCTCAGTGTGTTTAATCTTGCTTCTCTAGTTTTACAGGAATGTCCATAAGCAACCAAACTGTTATCAGTATTCATTCTGAGATTCTTAAAATATACTTGCATTTGTATGACAGCCACTTTCCTGGTAGAATGGTAGAAGTGATTTAGTAAACCTTTAATTCCAACCAATGAGGACCTCTTCACGCGGGCATGATTTTGGTGGCAGCAGCAGATGTTTCTTAGTTCTGCACAAAGTCTGATGGCTCCCATCACACCCCAGATAAGTACTTCTGGGGCAGCTCCATGGCTAAACTGCCACAAAACCCTGCCACCACCGAAGAATTTCCAGTGGCAATCAATAGGTAGCTCCCCATTTTTCCATTAGGTTGATGAGGTGGGGGGAAGTCGGGACAGTGCGGGGTGTGGGGCAACAGGTTCTAACACACCCTAGGTGGGTCCTGCCAACATTACCACAATCCATGGAGATACTGGATTGTTCTGGTGGCATGTGTGAAAAAGTCCTAAGTCATTTCTTAGAATGGACCATCCTGAATTTAACCTGTCCAGTACTGTCACATTTTGCTGAGTTATATTCTGCAGAAAACATGTAGAAATCTCTGCATCTCAAGATCTAGTTATCACTAGTGAAACGTGATTTATTTAAATTAGCCATAACTTATAAATGAATTTAGTGCAGTGGGGGAATCTCTCAAAATGATGGGACCATAATGTGTGGGGCTGCTCATTTGATGCTAGTCCCTGGTGCCTCACTCAGAAGAGAGGATCATGATTCTGAGGATAAGACACAGGTGGTAAGATGCGAATAGTGAGCAGACCAATGCATCTCACTATGTAACTGCTGATATACAGTCTTTTGTTCCTCCTCTTCTTCAGGTACAAAATCATGACAGCGTGCTGGAACCTGGAGCCCACTCGCCGGCCTACCTTCAATCAGATCTGCACTTTCCTCCAGAAGCAATTGGGAGCCATGAAGGAACAGGTGAGATATATTGTTGAAGGCTTTAATGCCCAGAATCAGTGGGTTGCTGTGAGTTTTTTTGGCTGTATGGTCATGTTCCAGTAGCATTCTCTCTTGAGGTTTCACCTGCACCTGTGGCTGGCATCTTCAGAGGTTCTGTTGGCAGTGAGGCAAATGGAGTGTGTGTCCTGTGGACATTCCACAGAATATACACTCCATTTGCCTCACTGCCAACAGAACCTCTGAAGATGCCAGCCACTGATGCAGGCGAAATGTCAAAGAATGCTACTGGAACATGATCATACAGCCCAAAAAACTCACAGCAACCCACAGGTGAGATACTTTACATCACTAATAGAAAGGCAAAAAGCAGATCATCCATTCTTGGGAAATTTGTTCCCTTAGAAGTTTCATTCTCTCTATCTGTCTCTTTCACATACACACCCTTCCACCTTTTTGCATCACCAGAAATGTCATGGGTGAAAGAAGATAATGTGCTCTTCATTATCCCTTGTTATTGTTAGGAATTTAAAAGTCTTCACTCAAGGTGTATTATGACTACACAAATTACAGTTTGCCTTTGATAACTGCTACCAAGTTGACTTCTGCTTATGGCACCCCTATGAATGAGGGACCTCAAAGTCACCCTATCCTCAACAGTCCCACTCTGGTCTTGCAAACCAAGAGCTGTGGCTTTCTTGATTGAATTGATCCATCTGGAATGCAGTCTTCCTCTTTTCTGACTGCCTTCTACCTTACCAAACATTGCTATCTTTTCTAACAAGTCATGTTTTCTCATTATTATGACCAATGTCTTTGCTATTTTCTGCTAGTAGTACGGTGTGATCTGCATATCTTAAATTGCTATTGTCCCTTAATTTGTATGCCTCCTTCCTTGAGTCAAATCCTGCTTTACATATGATATGTTCAGGATACAAATTAAACAGATAGGGTATAAAAATGCACCCTTGCAAGATCCCAATGCAATCTTGGAGGCTGTATTGCAGCAGTGGGTGGAGCTAAGAATTAAGAGATATTGAACAGGACTAAGGAGAATACATGGAAGGTCTTAGCAAATTGTGCAAGGTGAGATGTAATTCTAACCAATTACAGCATTTTCCTCAAAATCATTTGTAAGGGTACTTTAACCCCAATGGTAATACATTCTAGAAACTAAGGCATGGGGTTTCTTTTCCTTGCTTTAAAGGATTATAAAAACTTACCATGCAATGCAGAAGAAGAAGAAGACAGTGGATGTGAGCCTTCCAGCTACTGCGAAGAATCCTGTGACTCTGGAGAAAGTGAACAATTGCTTTTGAACAGCAACAACTACCAGTTTTGTTAAAGGTGATATGAGCCTTGCCCTCATATTCACTGAATTTCCACTGAAATACAGATATAATGTACTCATGCCTTTGGCAATATTTTGCATCAGGTGATTTAAGCCACAGAATGTAGCCTTGCCATGTACCGATAATGCAATTCAGAATCATTCTCTAGAATCCACAGGAGTGTTAGCTGGAACCATAATTTTTAAAACTGAGAATGGAGTTGTGAATTTCAAACTTTTTTCTTTCTGTGATACACATCCTATAGGGCAGCTCTGAAAGCCTTATTGTCTTTAGCTAAACCATTTTGTCTGTCTGTGATAATTGGTAAGATCAGCTAAAATGAAAATCAATAGACCCAACCCAATTTAGCTCTAGATCAGGGAATCATTCACCATAGGTCAGCAGTTCTCCACCTTTAGCTCTCCAGATGCTTTGTACTTCAATTCCCAGAAGTCCAAGTTAGCATGGCCGGTGGTCAGAGATTCCTGGGAGATGAGGCCCAAATACTTTGAGGACGAAACTGTGGGAACCACTGCCTTAGATGAATCCTGGCATTCCAAAGGTATGACTAATTCTGCAAGAACAAAAGTACGCTCTAATTCTCCATAGAGAAGGAACTTCTAAAAAATAAGGAAAGAATCATAAAGTTTTCCCCTCCTTTAAGATCACTACTGCATACTGTGCTAAAGAAGAAGAAGTAAGGAAAAGTGTATTGTCGAAGGATTCCATGGCCGGAATCACTGGGTTGTTGTAGGTTTTTTCAGGCTATATGGCCATGTTCTAGAGGCATTCTCTCCTAACGTTTCGCTGCATCTATGGCAAGCATCCTCAGAGGTAGTGAGGTGACTACCTCTGAGGATGCTTGCCATAGATTCAGGTGAAACGTCAGGAGAGAATGCCTCTAGAACGTGGCCATATAGCCCGAAAAAATCTACAACAACCCAAATGAAGAGTGATTTTTCATTAGGCATAAATTGGGACTAATCTGTAATCTACTTTTGAATAGAGTATTTAGGTTTAAAATGTAAATTCCACTGAGGTCAATGAGATTTACCATAGAGCAGGGTGGCACATAGTGCAGAGTCTTCCTGAAGTTGCCTCCCCATGCCTGAAAAAAGGGGAAAAGAAAAAAAGACATTTCCTATTCTGCTATGTCTATACCGGGCTCCCTTCCCTACCAGATCAGCAGCCTGTTTTCCTATAACCCTGCTAAATCAAACCCACAAGTAGACCCACTTCTGTTTTTCACATTTTTATTTATTTTTGTTTTGCATCTTCGGGCTTGGTGAACCTATGGAGAAATCTGCAGGTCAAAATTTGGTCCCAGGACAGTTGATGATACCTTAAGCAAAGCACACCACTATGGCCATTAACACATCACTGATTTCCAGTAACCCCCCCCCCCCCCCCCCCCCCGAGAGTAAGGAATAGACATGAAATACTTCGGTTCAGACTTTTGGGGAGGAAGGGATGGATTAAATCCCTCATTTTAACTGGAATAATCACCCTTTCAAAAACAAAGTAGCAGAATACACACACACCAGCTGCCTTTTGCCACCCATCTCACCCCTGCTATCCCTATGCTATGTTTCTTCCTGGTTTTGTACTAGACTTCAAAGTTGGATCAGCAGATCAGGGAAGCGAATGACAGAAGAGAGCAAGAAAATAGAATATGTGTATGAAAGTGTGAGCAAACGAAGAGGTACAGTATCTGCTTTTGAGTCTTACAACTGCCATCAGTTTTACCCTTGACTTCTCATATAGGTCAAGAATCCACTTCAACAGGCTATGATTCAAACAGTTTGACTGCACAAGGAAAAATAATTCTGTTAAACTCAGAAGAATTACAAGTCTGGCATGAAACATTATTACACTGCCTATACCTGGCATTCAACACAGCACTAGGATTTTTTGTTCTGCCTCAATCCCATCTATCCATATAGATGAGAAAAGCTGGTCTTCACTACTGGTTCTAACAGAGCTTGCTACAGCTTTTGAATTGGCTCTCCAGTTCACCGGAGACGTTCCTGACACATTATGAAAAGAGCCTAGCCTGATTAGGCTCTGAAGTATAAGCTTTTGTAGAAATATGGAATATTCGAGTAGCAGTCTGCAATATTGACTTTTCTTGTTGATCTTAACTTGTCCAGTCAAAAACTGAGATTGGAAATACTCATACAGGCTCATTGTTATATGATGATTTATTATTTGCACTGTGAGATATTTGGAAATTAAGCTAAAGGTGTATATTTCATTAGATTTTAGGGTAAAGTTGCAAAATTGTAGTCTACTAAATGTCTTTGTGCATCGGTTCCCAGCTGTCTTAGCCACCATAGTGAAGAATGCTGAAAGTTGTAGGCCAAAACATCTAGGGTGGCCAAAGTAGCCCATCTGTCCTTTAGGATAATAAATTGGCTCTGCGCAGATAGAATGATGAGTCCTGTAGTTTTCTCAGTTTTTTTTCCAGTTGAATTGTATTTCCCTTACTGAACTAAATGTAAAAGTAATCACAAATCCCACGCTGCCACTGAAGGCTAAAATGGCATTTAAGTGCCTTCCAGCAGTTAAGACTGGTTCATTGGCTGCAATCAATTCTTGAGAAGACAGTCATATTGTGTTAGTGAGTCAGATGGCTAGGCTGCCTTGGATTGCATGATCAGGGACTGTCTGCTCAAGAATTGATTGCAGCCAAAGAACCAGTCTTAAATGGTCACATCTGCACTCACCACTTAATATGGAAGGGCAACAGATCAGCTCTGTAGTGGCCAAACACCACATAGAGCTGATCCAGGGAAATGCAAGTCAAAGCGACTTTAATGCAGCCTTGACCATGTTAACCAAGGGATTGTTTTCAACCTATGTAAACAATTGGGACTGATTCTGAGACTGTAGGCACACTGTGCCAGTTGCTTGGTTACACAAGTTGCTGGTCCATTTCTGGGCTGGCTATTTCTTTTCAAGGCCTGCACCATGTGCCACCAGAAAGAATTGCATACAACCAGAACTTTCTTGAGCCTACAATCAGAGGTCCTCTGACAAATCCTCCCCTATCAAAGATAGAATGGATTAATGTATAAAATGTTTGTATGTGCTGTTTCAGAATATCTCAACTGTCATGCACACTTATTCTGCAAACTGGTCACATGAAATCTAGTATTTCTTCATTAGCAGGAAATGCCTTTCCCGTTTCCCTAGAATGCCACAGTGGTCGATTTTGACATAATTGCTCTGCTGGATTTTATCATCTTTTCCCTTTTATACCTTGTTGCTCTGTAGTTTTTAACAATAAACTTACTGTATTTTGTTTTAATATGTAAGCTGCTTTAGACATTTTATGCTGAATTGTAGTTATTACACTGTACTATTTTCTGGAGATAAGCTGTTCCAATGTAACTCATTTCTGGAACCTTGATGACTAAAAAAAACCTCAGGCAATTTTTTGTTAAGACTACTGATATTTGATTTTAAATAAGTAATGTTCGATAAGAAAATAACAATGCAAAGTATATATACAGCAGAATAAATGGGCAGTTTGGTATGGAACATCTGCAGCTGGCCCTCTACATTTGTGGATTTGATTATTCCCAGATTTGATTAAAATGTTCTTTCTAGGAATCCTTAGGTCCTCCAGTGTGATTCCATTGTCAGCTTCTAGTGGACCATAAATTCATCCAGGAGGACCTAGACATGTTCAGATAGGTGTTTTTTCTGGATTCTTTATTCATGGTTTTTCACTTTCATGGGGATTCTGTGCCCCTAACTCCAGTGAATGTGGATCTACAGTAATTTAGTGGTTTTGAAATTCTAGCAGTGTAGCCATTGTGCAGCCCATAGAAACACGTTACTTTGAGAAGTGTTTTGATGTATATATTTGCAGTGTTATTTTCCCACAGTGTACTTTTAAAATAAACTAGAATCAATCAGCTTTTTATAGATTGTAATGCTTTTCACAATGTTTTAAAAGTCATTGATGCATATTAGTTTTTATGTAAGCTTATCTAGCTTTATTAAACACCCACCTTTGATTGAAGTCCTATGTAATTGAAAGACTAATCTCAGGAACTTTTTAGAACCAACTGGCTATATAATTAGAATGTTAAAAATGCATTTGCACTGACATATTGATGGGCAGCACATATTTTGCTCAGTGAGTTAACTAGTTATCACCACTCGAGATGTTCTCAGGTCATATTTAAATAGTTATAACTACTGTGCATTAAGCATCCAAAGTGTAAAAATTGTTATAAGTAAATGTGCATTGAACTGTCTTGAAAAATAAAATAAATTTGATTAGCCAAAGAAACTTGTATTGCCATTTTCTTTAATCTCTCTAGTTTTTTTGTTTCTGTTCATTGTTGCTTTCCCCCCCCCCCCAAGATAAAATATCATTTCTTCTATTACAAAATGTTGATAAAGTTTGATTTCTGCTCTAATCAGCCTTTCTAAACATCTCCCATTAATGTAGTTGCTTCAAAAATGAGAACACAGATTGGTTGCCACATATTAAACCCCATGAACTCTAACTGCCCAATCCTATGAGTTCCAATAAATGCAAATCTAAAGGCATGATTCAATTTTGTATCCTGCTCACTATTGGTCTTTTTTTGCAACAAAAGTAGATTCTGATATATTACATCAGAAGGATGTAATATATCAACAATTGTGCTTGGACAAAAGGAGGGCTCGGTTCCTTTTATTTGCCATTAGGTTCTAATTGCACCATCTTCATTACCATTGTATTATTCTTTTTGACCAAAAGGATTACATTATGTGTGATGTCATATGTATGGGTACGTTTGATCAGACTACTGGGAGCTCACTGTGTAACAGATTTCAATTAAAAAAAATCCTCTAATTGGACAAATGGATTGGTGTCACAGCATTGTAGAAATCATGATCCAAATTCAAGGTCAGAAGCCCGAATGTTACAAAGGAACCAGCAGAGGCTAGAAATGTCTTGTATTTTTTTTCCTGCTTCTCTTGTAAAACTGGATTTACAAAGGTTCAGTGGATCTCTCAAAGTGAGATCTGAGAAAGCCACTTGGGATATCTATGCTGAGATCCAACATCAACCAAGTAAAGCATAACTCTGTGTCCTTTGCCCACCCTCAGCCATCCCAGGCTGTTTTCAAGTCAGATCTCATTGCATACTTGTGGGGAGGTAAGAAAGAGGGAAGATAAGATTGGTCTGGTTTCTAGTGTCAAGGATTCTATCCATAAGCCTTATCCCCTCCACTAAGACCAAAGCAGTTGCATTTTCATAATTGAAATTGCTTTCTCATTCTTACCACCGATAAAGCAGGAACCAGAGCCATCCAGAAGGACTAAAAAGCTGCTGGGAAGACACTGGATGGTACACAAAACTACTTAATCATTCCCTGTGCCTCATCCAAAACCAGACATGTGCACAAGTCACATTTGCATGCCCATACCTCACTAAGAAGTTCAAAAGATCAAGAAAGATGATCATTTCATTCATTTAAAACAATCTGGGGAAACTCAGAAGAGTTAAAACACAAATGTATAGTCCTCTTACAAGATGGTACATGCTCCCCTTCACAAAATCAAAATATTCTTTATGTCTATTTGAGAGGCCTGTTGAGGAGTTGAAGGCCAAAACATCTGGGGACCCACAGGTTGAGAACCACTGCTCTACATCAACACAGAAAGGTCAGGAGTGGGGCTGAAATATCCATCTCCACGTGCTTCTATGCCAGGGATGGACACCTTGTATCCTTGTGTATGGGACCAATTTTTCCTGCTTAGTTGGGCTGCCCCTGCCAACTGAAACCAGAAAGGAAA